CTTCGGGCGCCGGGTGGGGGCCGCCAAGAAGGGCAAGCTGCGGAAGAGGGTGTAAGGAAGGGGGATGCTCCCCAGCAGCTCCCCCCCATGCCTGGGCTGGGGGCCGGGGTAGAGGACATTAAATACGTGGCTGGTTTTGCATCCTGACTCCTCTTTGTCCTTGCCACAAGCGTCGTGCCGGGGGTAATCCCTCCCCGCCTTGGGCCACCCCCAGCCACGGTCTGAAAACAAGCAAGTGCTGCAGGTCCGCAGCTGGGTTGTATTTTGACAGCAACACCCCGGTGGATACCAACAGCCCGAGCGCGGGCGGCAGCCCCCCCTTCCTCCGTGGCAGCCGGGCCCTGCTGCCCCCGGTGCCCCTTGCAGGAGGGTACCCCAGGGGGCCGGCCCTGCCCCGGGGTGCTGCCATCCCAGTGTGCCCGTGCCACTGCGATCCATCTTGCCTCTTGTTGGAGGGGTCCCAGACTTGTGAGGGAGCGACCTCCATCCCTGGGGGTGCCGGGGGTCCTGCAGCCCTGTGCTGGCCGCGGCCGCCTCTCCCCAGCCCCAGGAGCTGGCAGTGGTCCCCAGGGGCTATTCCTGGCTCAGGGGCACCCTGGCACCCCCATCATGCAGCGGGCGCATGCTGGTAGTGTTGGGCAAGCGTCAGGGGGACAGCCCCGGCTGCCCAGGGCGCAGCTCAGCACCGATGGCAGCCAGGTCCTGCATGTAGAGCAGCACCTGCGGGGACAGGGACCTTGATGCCACAGCCATCTGGGGACATGAATGTCCCAACGTGTCCCCCAGCCCCACTGCCCAGGGGAGAGGGCTGTGCTGACCGTGTCCAGCTGGGCCTCGGTGTCTTCCAGAGCCACGTTCACGGGGACCTTGAGCCGTGCGGTGGCGAGCTGGAAGAGGTTCAGCACTGCCAGCTTGATCTGCCCCAGCAGCAGGGTCTTCTGGGCAGCCGTGCTCTGGATGTGGGCCCAGTGGGACTCCTGGGGGACAGAGTGACAGGGAGCCCTA